TGCATCTTGCTGGTAAAATGATTAATTATGAAACAAAATATTAATTCTGACGTTATATTTTAGGTTTCTGAAGCTATTTCGCACGATATTCATTATCTTGTATTTCACTTTCTAATCGTAGTTGATATGTTTGTATATGTGTTTTTATTTAACTATGCTGGACAAGAATTTATGGATCATAATGACCACATATTTTCCACTGCGTAAGAGACACTATCTATGCTTATAAATATATGTCAGTAATATTTTGACGAACTCTAGTATAATTGAGATTAGGAGATTAATTCATATAACTCTGTATAAAGATTATTATTGTATCTCCAATTATCAATTTGTTTTTCTGATCTTTATTTTGTAGATACAATGTTCGGTGGTATGTAACACCATTACACGTACAGAAGCTAATATTATTTCTCTTGCAAAGGGGTAACAAGACTGTCAGTCTTAATTTTGGCATAATGTTCGTGTTGTCCTTAGAATTATTTGCAGCGGTAAGAGATTATTATATGGTCTATGTTACGTGTAGCACGTTACATATATGTATATGTTATGAATAAGTGTGTGTACATGCATGTGTAGGTACTATATATGAAATGCAGAGTATATATGGTATATATATGTACATGTATAAATATGATACACAGACACATGATACAGATATGTACATTTCATTCTAGTTAACGAAGGCATCGATATCTTATTTTACCGTTATGTGTTCGATGCAATAGCGAACATTTTTGATCCAACGACTGCAGTTGTATAAACGTATTGCAATTTCGCACTCAGAGAAAAAAATCTTTGTTATGGCAACTTTAAGGTGACAACTATGCAAGTCGTATTCATAGAATTATTTTATATAGTTAAATGAACTATTTTATAGTTATTGCAACTAATTTAATGGTTAAGAGAACAAATATATAATTTTTGCACAAACTTTATTGGAGGAATAACATGGACTATATATTTATAATTCCACGAACTGTTTAATAATTAGTGCAACTAAAGTAAGTGGTTAAGAGGACTAATAAATAAATTGTTGACTAAATTTAATGGGAAATAATAGTATTTTAACATTGAGAGACAAAAATTGTTGCTGTAACTATATAAATGTGAACAAATAGCACATTAACTTTGTTTTTATAGTTTATAGAAATTGAAATACTATAGTGAATTGAAATATGTAAATATTGTCAGACTTATTTACTATCGGCATAGTGTATCATCTATGATTTTTAAATGTTATTATTTTAAATTGCAAAAGACAGCGGAATACTGACAACGTGAAACTCAATTAAATCAAAATCCTCATAATTAAAATATAATATATCAATTAGTTATTATTTGAGCGTGATGAGCGCTTCTAAATAGAAAGTGCTGAAATGCATCTAGGATGTGCAACTTTTTTGGCGTATGTAAATAATCGCTTCATCTGAAACTTCCCCTCTAATCTGTTATTGTCCTTATTAAAAAAGTAATCTGACCAGGATGGCTCGCGAAACTAAACTTTATATCTTTTTCAATTATCTTATAGTCACCGTTGAACATATTTTGAATTAGCGTCTCCGTTAATATGCATGCGAGAAAAATATGTTATTGACAGTAGCAAAAATTGATTCATTGAAAGCATAAACAATTTCTTAGAGTATAATAAGTAAACGTACTCAAGTAGAATGTAAGAAAATAAGTGCTTTAATTTATGATCCAAGGTTGTTTTCGAGATTTATAGTAGGTAAGTATTGACATTCAGTATGTTTTGTACTTTACCGGTTGCAATTTTATAGTTCGGATATATTGGCGCCGCGCAATAATACAAATGGCATGGCACTTCCATCAAACGTATCTTATCAATGCACATATCACAATGAGCAATATGCAACCGCGATGTTAAAGAGAGCGAAACATGCGTTTGCGCGAGTTCGAAAAGTCGTCTTGTATTTTTCTGTGGGAAATGGACATCTGTTAAATTTCTCTCGGCATTAAATCGATTGAGCTTAATCGTCTATTTTTTTCCACCGAGCAAAAACATGAAATTTGTGTGTTTCGATTCTCACGGTAGTATTTTCTTTTTAAATTATTTTACGTTCGCAACATTAAGCAATTTTATGTTAGAATTTATATTAGAGAAATAAAAGAGTTTTAAAAGTCATTGACTCTTTATAAAAAGAAAATATTCTTCACCAACTTTTTCGCAGTCAAACGCGATACGTTTCTCACAGAGTGATGATCTATATCGTGACTCAGCACTTCAGTTTGAATCGGGTTATTTTACTATTAATTGGCTTATGGCCTTATGAGTGTTCGAAATTAGTTCAGCTTCAGATAATCTTGTGCTTTAGTATTCTGATTAGTAGTGTTGTGTATCAAGTAGGTCCACATTTCTAATCATATTCTTTCTTATGGCTATTTTATATATGTAACACTTATTTTCAAAAATTTTTTAAATATTTATATTTTATTTTTATTAATATATACCTAATATACACATAGTGAAATTAAATATCTATACTTTACTGTAATTATTAAAAGTTATTTTTCAAAAAGGTTTATTAATTATAGCTTGCAGTATTTATTTCTGCAGACTGTACTATTGATCTTATTCTTAAGGTTGTCTCTTTCGTATTATTTTTTTGTATGTATGTGATCGAATACAACTCTTTTCGAGTTAACAGACACACTGTAAGTTGATCTTTTAATGTATTTAACTAGATAAATAATGTCGATAAATTAGTTTGTAAATTCTTTACAATATTTATACAATGAGTCGAATATCGAAAACTATTTTTGACGCTATAGATGAAATGGTCATTGGAGCAACTTCAGCGTATCTGTAACGAGTTAAAAGACGAAAAAGAAATCGATATCATGAAGAAGTGCGGGGACTATTCGAGACGTTATACAACTCTAATTATGTGTAAGAAAGTATTGACATCTCTAGTACATTTGTTGTAAATAAATTAAATTATTGAATTGTTAGCCTGGTTAACCACATGAGCATTTAATTAAAATATTTAGATATTTTAATCTAACAGAATGCAAAATTTAATTATAAAATTATATTGTTAATAAATAAACATATTTGGTATATATGTATATTTATTTATATGTGCTTCTCATTGTATAATAACATCATTTTATAATTAAATTTTGCATTCTGTTAGAATATAATAAAAATACTTTCTTTCATTATATATACTTTACTAGAACAATTAGTATTTTAAAAATTAGGATTAATTTAGCATTAATATTGGGAAGGAAAGTGGTAAAAGGGCAATAAATTTTGAAATGTACTTATACCATTTAAGGATATAATTTTTTGGACAAAAAACAAACAAAAATTTATATAATTATTTTTTAAATGTCTTTAGGGCTTAATGTGTGCAACATAATTGCTATTATTTTATTTCCACTTGTGCTGTACATTTTTGATACTGTCCTCCGCATAAATGAATATCATCTAACAATAAATCGCCTGATACAGATGCTTATACCTAAGCACTTTGTCGGCCGAGAAAATTATATGTATATAATTATCTTGCATTCGGGCTCAACGATTATGATAGGAGGGATAATACTGGTAGCAACAATGACGATGTGCGTAGCATACATTAAACATGCTTGTGGCATGTTTAGAATCGCCAGGTGAAGAAATATATGTAAGAATAAATGTAGAAATTGTAATTTTACACATAATTTTTTTTGTTTTTATTTGAAGCAATTTTATATAGACGAAAGCAAATTGGCTATTGTAGCAAAATTATCGCTATTATACATTGGGTATGAGAGCGATTAACTTTGTTTGTATAGTAAATTATTCCATATTGTAGGAAAATTTTTTTTGGTAAAGTAGAAAAATTCTTTTGTTAAAAGAAATATGAATTTTATTCTAAAACACAACAATCCCCCCCCCATCTTCAAAAAATGTATTTTGCTGTCGCAACTAGATCTTTCGATAGTAAAATAAAAATCAATGTTATATAGTTGATTGTTAAATATTTACAATAGTTATTTTTAGCAGATTATATTTACAAGTTTTTTTTATAACAATTGATGTAATATGTGACGTTATAAAATATATATATGTATATACACATATATGTCAGTAAATCGATTTCTTTCATAAACTTCACAAAGATAATCATAATAATAACATTCTTTATAGTTATCGCATTGAGAAGGCAGTAGCAGTAAATACGATGAAAAATGTTAGTTTGGAGAACGAGATTATAATGTATAGAGAGATAATTCATGCCGTAGATATTCATCGTAAAGCTATAAAGTTAGTTAAATATTAGTAACAAAATTATACAAAAAGAAATGTAATAATATTCTCTTCTTATTGAAGGGCTACCGCACTTTTCTTTTCTGGGTTCCAACGATCGCGTTTCGTCTTATTAATAATTGGAGTACTTACTTTAAGCCTGAATCTTTATGGAGTTAGTTTTTCTAACGTTATTAGATATATTTTCGGATAAGTGTTTAAATTCGAAAAGAAATGTTTTATGATTTTGTTTTACAAAGGACAGGCAAGAACTAGAAAAT